GTTGCCCACCCTAATACGGGAGGGACTATTGTACTTGCATATCCTTCATTGGGTAATATTCGATGTAGAGTCACTCGTGGTGTAGGTGGGGGTGGAACGGGGACATTGTCATGAGGCACTCGGCCTCTTCTATTGGCTTGAGGTTCAAGAAGAAGCTCATCAACTTGATCATCCTCGACGTCCACATCCCCCAAAGGCAAATTTTCGATCTCATTGTTCACCATGGTTGTACCTACGATTTCTCACACAAGTTAGTAACATGGAAGAAAAAGACGATATTCCAAAAACACACCCAAATATATAGCTAACACCGTTTTAACTCTCTGACAACGGCGCCAAAAATTGATGAAGTCCACAACACACCTCTATAGGAGATATGATACGATCATATGCAATAATAGTATCCAACAAGAGTCGGGGTCGAATTTCACATGGAGTTATGAAGGGTGTTAGGAGTATATATTTGAAGCAAGCAACTGGGTTATCTAAGATTTGTAAGGCCCCGTAAAAGTTTGCTAAGGGATTCAAGTTTTGTGGTGCCGAGGTAGGTGATGTGTATAGATGTATGGACTTTTTGGGTTGAAGAATGCATCGAGGTATTGGTGGAAAAGTTTTGCTGAAGGGCCAGTTATGCGGTCAGATTCGTGATCGCAGATCCATTCTGTGGGCCGCATACCCGTCGCAGAGTTGATCGGAAAAATGGTTGAATTTTGAAGGTCGTTTTGCGGTCCATTCTGCGATCGCATATTCATTTCGCAGTCCGCATTTTCCATCACAGATTTGACGTGAAGAATTTTGTGGGATGATTCTGCGGCCGCATAAGTGATCTGCGGACCGCAGACCTGTCACAGACCGGTCCAGACCAGACCGGTTCTTGGTATCATTTTCGCGGCCAATTTTGCGGGCTGCATATCTGTTATGCGGTCCATTCTGCTACCCCAGACCTGAGTTCGGAGGGTCCATTTTCCTATTTTTATAACCCGAACCCATTTTGATAAATAGCCTTTGAGGCTCATTTTGAAACGAATGTCTGGTAAATTTAGAGAGAGGTAAGAATATTTTAGAGAGGGAAGGGGAAGGCCTAGCATTCTAAACACCCATTCTTGCACCAATATTCAAGAATCAAGGAAGCCACTCACTAGACCACTATTTATCCGGGTAAGTTCCTATCCTATATCACCCATTCAAGTTATTTTAGGGTCTAAGTGTATTGTGGGATTGGAAATAGGCCATGCATGTGATAATAGCTTGTAGTATGTGGGGTTAATGAACTATTTTGGGTAGTTTCTTGTTGAAATTAGTTGAGGGAGGAAGGGATTACCCTCGTAGAGCTTTGTAGTCTATTTTGCATACTAGGTGCTTGACAAAATTCCTAAGAGAGTTACACCATGGGAATCCTCCTAATTATTAACCAACTTTCGATATCTTTATATAGATTGTTATTGCTATAAGTGTTGGAGCATTGTATTAATTTAAGGAAAGCTCATGCAAGGTATGTTGTCTAAACTTCTCTCTTGGAATCGAATTCCATGATGTTCCCATAAGTTTTAAGTATGGTTGGCCCAAGTTCCTAATTCTCATGTTCCGAGTTATCCCGTATAAACGTTACTATTCCAAATAAACTTGTGTTGAAATATATGTACTAGAAATGTGTACCGGATGCTCCTATCATATTGTGCTCTCCTTCGAGAGTGTATTTAAATGTGACCAATGTGTCAGAATATTATGATTTCAATCATGTTTTGAATTGCAAGTTGTTATGCCCAATAGTGAAAGAAAACTCAATGCACCTAAGACCCCTATTGTTCATATTCATGCTTAAGGCATTGATCCCAAGTGCTCTTACTATTGATGACCGATAAGTATGTTTGAAAGTGAAAGAGCTAAAGTGAGATATAAAATGTGGCCATGGTTGTTGTAGCTAGTGCATTTGATTTGACGTCGTGTTTAAATCGTAAATCACCATGCCTTCCTTTATAATTATTTTCAATGTGATTTGAGTTCTTACGTACTCAAGACTTGAATTTGTGTATTGCCCTTTTGTGAAGAAGTATTTAAAAAGATACGGTGTATTACTCGCTTATGATTTTTTTACTTGTGTTGTGATTACAAGTCATTGTGCTCCATACTTTGAAAAGGGATCTAATGTGTTTAAAGCCTTCATTACTAATGAACTTAAAGTTGTGATTTCCGGAATATTCTATATGTTGATATTTATGTTGATGATCCTTGAAAGTAAAGAAATAAAAGAGTGAAATGTGAAATACAGCCACCGTGCCATGAAAGAAGAATCATAAGTATGACCAAGAGGGCTAATGAAATAATAATGATGTTGTGAATGATTGAAGTTACTAACGAGGCTATATATAGTGTGAAAGGCAATGAGGTGAATATAAAAAAATATTTATATTTTTGTTTCCCTTGTGTGCAAAACAAAAATATTTTTGGGAGTATCATTAGCAAACCGAGGAAGGCTGGGTCATAAGGCCCACACACGAAACTACATGTGCCGGTGTAAGAGTGGATTGTGATTATTCCCCTTATTTGGGATGGGATTGAAATATTAATATGATTGTGATCATTCTGCTTAATTGGGATGAGATTGATATTAGTTGTGAATTGGAAAGTCAACTCACATGGCATATGTGAAAAGGCGGCCTAGCCAATCGGGTGGAGATTGGACACCATGTTGCGCACATAGTGGTACTACTCTTGGTAACACCTTTTTTTCGCATCACATGTCAAACTACATTGTCGTGGGGAGATATCCTAGCCAATCGGGCATGATCGGACTCCGTGCTAAAAACACTTGGTATATTGGTGCTAACGATCTCCCAACCAAAAATATATATTATTTTTGTATTTTTAAAAATTGTTATGTTTTAACTTGGCATTTGGGTATCATTGACGGTTACTTGTTGCTTCAATGGTGTTTCCCCTTCTGATATTGGCGTTCTATTTCGAAAGAGGACATTTAGCTTTACATACTAGTACTATTCCACATGTACTAACGTCTATTTTTGCCCGGGGTGCTGCATCTTCAATGGATGCAAGTGGTTCATCAGCGGGCAGCTTTGGTCCTCGTTAGCAGTCACTCTCTATGTAACAGGTTTTGGTGAGCCCAACTCTGTTCTGGACCTTGTGTCATTTGACGTTGTATTTTTAACTTTGAGGTATAGTCGGGGCCTTGTCTCCGACACTTCCATTCTTCTTTTCTGTTGTACTTAGAGGCTCCGTAGACAGGTTGTGGGTGGTGTTTGATATTGGGTAATGAACTAGAAGTATTGGTATGTGGCAAACATGTTTTTCCTCATATCTATAAACTTGTAATATTTTGGAAGTCATAAATGAATCTCTTTTGAATAATGGGGAACACTTGACTCTTCTCATGTCTATCTCTTGTACTGATTCTTAAAGTGTTAATGGGCAAGGTTGGGTAGAAGGCATCTAGTACACTTACTTAACTAGGGTATCTCGATTGAGTGCCGATCACGCTCCCCGAGGTCAGAGCGTGACAAGATTGCACTTCTACAACAAGGTTTTATTTTCTATTTCTACTGTTATTCTAATGAATGCAAGCTAAAGAAATTAAATTATAGATTAATGTTTTTGAGGTTTTTCCAATTTGATTAAAGGCCTAGGGTTGTGACCATAAAAGGTGTTTACCTAATTGGATAAAGATGTTTATACTTGTTTTGTTGATTGGGGTGTATTATAGCTCTCAACTCTACGTTACCCATTGTATACCTCTCGGTCAGAGAGTGATTTTTCCAAATTTGGCTTTCTCAAGTCCAAATGGCTGTCAACCAAAACAGTTGATAAGAGCTCAAATCTGGTTCTTACAATCTCTAGTTTGAACCCTTTAATTAGGTTAATTAATCTCTCAATTAAGACAATTCCTTGTTAACTAAGTTATCCTAGACTAGGTCCCTCTTTCTCAAGTAGAGACTAAGTCAAATAGGCATGAATCAATGTTTGCAACCATTAATTCTAAAATTGAAGCATGAACTAAGCTAAATAATCAACACCCAATCATAAACAAGCATAAAATTAATCACCCATAAGGTTTACACACTAGGGTTGGGTCACAACCCTAATAAAATCTAGTTAATCATTATGGGATTTGAAGAAAATAAATATGAAAGGCTAATTAAACTCATAATGGAAGATTAAAATGATGAAATCTAATGTTAAAATACTCAAATAAGCTAAAACATCCTAAAATAGCAAAGAGAAACGGCTACATCAACTTTATATGTTCAAACTTGAACTAATTTTGTGAAGCTTGTCTATTTATACAGGGCTAAAAATCGCGAAAAAAATGACCCTCGGGAGGTTCTACGGCCGAACAATTCCATGTGCGGTCCGCAAATTTCTTCAGTTGGCAGGCAGGTAAGTTCTGCGGCAGCACATTTCTGGACTGCGGCCGCGAGGCAATCTTCTACGGCCGCACAATTCTTGTGCGGTCCGCACTTCACAGAGGCTGTTGGACTTGGTCTTTTTGCATACTCTCTGATCTTTGACTCTTCAGCCAGTTCTGCGACCGCACAATTCATGTGCGGCACATTGCTAAATGTCCTGTTATGTATTTCTTTTTGGTTTGCGACCGCATATGGAATTCTGCGGACCGCACATTTGTGCTTATGCACCCTTTATTGCCTTGTGCTTCGGAATACTCCTTTTTTAGTCGGATTTCATCTAGGGAGACCAAACTTCTAGTATTCCTGCAATTTGCACAATTTTATTAGTTTTGGAAACACAATTCAATACTTTCGGACTAAAACAAAAGCTAAAAGGTGATAAAAGAAGTCAAAACCCCCACTTATCAGTCACCTACATAAATAGTCTATGCCCTGGAAAAACTCGGAACGAAGGTGAAATAGCCACCCAAGTTGAGGTCCGACACGAGCTCCAAACAATCTGACGCCCTCTGCAAATTTCACCAGGAGCACGGACAAAAATAAGAAGACTGCATTGCCCTCAGGCAAGAGGTTATGAACATGTTGCAGCAGGGATACCTCAAAGAGCTGTTGATCGACAAGGGGAGAAACAACTTTGCCAGAGGACGTGAACGCCAAGGCCCACCAAATTCACTGTCACCATCTCGCACTATCAACATGATAATCAACGGCAGCGATGACACCTCCATCAACGACATTATATTCACTGCCACCCACAAGCTCAAAAGATCCATCACCTACGAATGGTATGACGGACTCGAAGAAAGTATCATCTTCGATGAGTTAGATGCCAACGGTTTGACTTTCCCTCATAATGACGCTCTCGTAATTACTTTGTGCATTTTAGATACTGATGTCAAACACATCATGGTGGATGATGGAAGTGGAGTGTGCATTATCCATCCCCGAGTCCTCACCCAGATGAGACTTGAGGACATTATAGTGTCGCGCTGCATCACGCTAACCGGTTTTAATAATGTAGTTGAGCAGACATTGGGAGAAATTACACTCCCAGTCTTGGCCGACAGCGTAACATTGGAGACGACATTCCACATTATGGACTAGGACACCGCGTACAACGCCATAGTAGGGCGACCGTGGATACATCTCATGAGATCCATTCCCTCCAACTTACACCAAGTAATCAAATTCCCAACACCTTGGGGGATATTCTGCATACAGGGAGAACAACGCACATCCCAGGAATGCTACCACATCGCCTTAGATGGAACAACAACCCAACAGAAAAAAGATAAGGAAAAAAGTGCATAGCAATCAACAGGGTCGAGGTCGACACAAGAAAAGACCAGGGACATCATCATGGATCCTGAAATGGTTGAAGCTGCAGATTCGACTATAGAGGACCTCGACCCCGTTCAATTAGATCCCAGTGACTATAGCAAAAAGGACTACATCGGCTGCAAACTCTAAGAACCAGGTAAATTCAGTCAATTCTTAATAACTAATGCGGATTTGTTTGCCTTCATCCATGCAGATATGTCGGGTATCCCCAAGGATATCACCACACATAAATTTAAAGGCTGATCCATTCTACCTTCCGGTAAGGCAAGTCAGACAAAAATTCAATCCCTTCATCAACGATGTCATCCACGAGGAGGTGAATTGTTACACCCTATATTTTCGTACGATAAAAATGCGTCGTAAGCAAACTAATGTAGGACCAAAAATGAGATAATATTTAAAAGTATATAAAGTAAGTTAATCATGTTACCTCTGAGGTTACAAATATTGAAGATCATGAACAACAAGTACAAAGAGGGTTGGACAGTTCAGAAGCTAAAGCAATTAAATAAAACAATGTTTCGTCGAAAGTCGACAAGTTGGAAATGTTATAACATGTACCTTTGGGGTGAGCTAGGGTGATTAACGTGATAAGGAGATTATGTTATGATTTATATTAGTCATATGACATCCGTGTGTTATGTTTTGAAG